GTGTAAAATTTTCATCCATTGCCAATAACCTCACAAATAGCCAGAGAACAGCATAAATGTCCTACAGCAGGCACAGCTACATCAACAGGCGCAAAGGCAAAAGAGAGGTGTGGTTCGGGGAATGCAGGATACCAAGCACACACACTTTGGTATCCTAAAAGCTGGATGAAGTAGCTGACCTTCAGGAGACTGAAAATGGCTGATGTGACACTGGGAATTTCATATGGAGCATAAAATGTTTGGGGAAAAAAAAAAAAAAAAAAGAGGCAGGAGACAAATATCAGGGGTTGTGATTTCTCTCTCAACAATTCCATGGACGATCAAATTTGATCCTGAAACTCCTCTGCCATAATGGCTATGCAAATTCTTGCCCATGGCTGGACTGCTGGTGAATTATGAACCTTGGCAATCATGCTGACCAGCATTTCATTATATTCCCTCATCTCATTGCTGGTTTTACCCATCACATCTTTTTTATACACTGAGATAACAGCATTTTCAGATGAGATTTCAGTGCTCCCTCAAGAGTTCGCACAGAGGTGCCCTGATCCATGCCTGGAAATCTCAGACACTAACACAACTGAAATTATTATCAGCTACACCATTTAACTGTCATTTTGTCATGCACACAGCGAGACGTTTCTCTCTCCCCCCTCTATAAAGCTGCATCTCACAATTTGCACGGCATGTCAAGATCATGGCAAGCCTCTTTTCCTCCGGTATAAAATATATTTATACACACATGTACAGTTAGGTTTGAGCTGTTCAGAATCTCATTCCTGTTCTCCCCAGCCTGTTTGGAACAGAGACTACAACCTCCGTGGCATCCATCATTTCTCTGTAGGCAGCTCAACAATATGTAATACCGAAACAAAACAAGTCACTGCTCTAAGTATATCTAATTTGAGGCTTATTATTCAAGACCATTTCCTCATTAAGCCAGTTTTCCACTACTCTTCTGCCTTCGACTGTTTGTGAACTGGGTTATTTTTCCCCACCGTATGCTACCTCGTCTTTTCCCAAGCTGAGTTACTCTGTAGCTGTCAGCTTTGGTTCTGACCTATCTTCCACTGAAGTGAAGGCAGAAACTCCCTTCTGGAGCTGTGACGGATGCTAGATGAGGTTATATTCGCAGTCTCTGTAATCAATTGTCATCATACATCTCTGTCCTTTTCTAGTGTTTGCAACACTGCCTAATGTAGCATCATTTGTAAATGTAATTAATGAGCTGTTTATGTACTCTTCAAAAATCATTAATAAAGATGTTAAATTAAACTGTGCTTAGCGGTGCACCCTGAGTCACCCTGCACACTTCTGTCCAACTTGATACATTGCCATTCATCACTACTCCTCATTCATAACGCCTCAAGCAATTCTGAATCCTATGACACAATTCACATTCAAAATGGTTTGAACAGTTTACTTTTTTTTTTTTGCATTAATTCCTAGACTTGCTGTTTTTTTCTATTTTGAAGATGAGCAACACACTCACACTGTTGCAACCCCTTAATGCCTTCCCACTTCATTCTCACTTGCTACAAACTGTGCTCCAATGCTTTCAGGCTTAGCTAATTCTTTAGAGGGTACCTGGGCTTGCTATCACCAATTCCTATATATGTCAACAGCATACTGCTTCTACTCACTCTGTACCTATTACAAAATTCTTCTGGTTTCCTCTTGCCCATCCACATGCATTTCAATTCTAAGAGGCAACCAAAATTTGCCATCACTCAGTACATCTGATTTTCTCTTCCTCATTTAACATGGATAACCTTTTCCCCCCCAAGTTTATCTTGTTTATCTTCTCCCTATTGCAAATATATCTGATGCCATAATCCAGTCCATGCTGGTGTTGCCTGTTAGAGTCAAGTTAAGTAATTCTGTTCTCTGTAACAGCTCTCTACAAGCATTAAAAATCTGTGTTTTTTCTTCTCCTTTCTTCTCCCTTCTCTTCAAGTCCACTATATTGGATCTTGTAAAACCCACTTGCACTTTGTATTCTTCTCTTCAGACTTGCAGTAATCTAGTGCTCCTTAATTGAATGAATTATACATCTTAACTTTGCTCCAGGCTTGATTTGTTCATTAGGGTAGACCCTCAAGTAGCCTTTGCTTCCTAAAGCATCACTGAAATCACTGGACTTTGGGCTTTTCAGAACAGCTCACAATCTGTCATGTGGACTTGAAAATCCATATTGCTTGCTAAGCTTCTTAATGCTGGTGTGAATGAATGGCTCTTGGCTCCTGCTCAGCCTGTGCAGCTGTGTCCTGAAACTCTGGGTGTTGTGTATTTTATTTTATTTTATTTATTTTTATCTCAAGCAGGTGCACAGTCAACAGCTCCTAACCAGCAAGGAAATAATCCGTGGATGATTTCTCCCATGGTCATTTTTACTTACTGGAATATCAAGCTAGCTTTTAATGAAACCCTTGAAAGGCTTGAGTAACACCATTCTTTATTATTCCATGTTATATACAAAGCTACCACCTATAATGTCCTAAAATTACAGAATCCCTACAGGTATGAGCATTACTGGGCATTGACCAATGCCCAGTGCCGTTTTATTTATTTTTTTAATTTCATTATTTTTCCTTACTCACATCATTTAACTCCCCTCCCCCCCCCCCATATTGGAATGGCATAAAAGCAGCATGTAATTGCCCAGAGCCTGAAGGCAGGAACAAGGGTGCATGTGGGTACAACAGCACAGGGACCTCAGTGCCTCCAGTGTGAATCACAGCAGGAGAGAGAAATGTCCATGTGTTTGAACAGTCCTGGAGAAAAGTTCAGAACATCCCCAGATATTGCTTTCCATTCTACTTTACGTACATAGTGTTAAAAGAAAAATACAATCATAATCAATTAATAACTCCATTTGGTATCAGCTTTCTTTAGTGGCTGGATAATGACAAAGATAGGGCTCATTGGGCAAAATGTTGGTAAGTATAGAGAGGATTTTATTAGCAGGAAGAGCGTAAAGAGCATAGTTTGCTCCAGAAAAGAAGTAAGAAATACTTAACTGCTTTGGCTCAGTAGGCCACATCTAAATTGGGCTAAAATCCCTATGTCTCACATGTCCTTCTCCTCAAAAAACTTTTGTTTTCCAGTTTAGGAAATTGTGTTATATATTTTATATTATATTGTTATGATGTATTATTTAATATTATTAAATTATTATAATGTACTAACATTTTTATATGTTAATAGCTTTCCCTTGCAGGATATTTCACCCTATTATAACACCATTTGTCCAATTAACATTTTTTAGATTTAGTTAACATTCCAAGTTGCAAAACATACATGCTATCACATAAACAGCTGAAACATAATTCACTCTTGGCAGCAGATTTGACAGGTAGTAGAGTTCAGCTAAATTAACCTAATGATGCATTGCTTGATAAAAATTCTTTTGCTCAAGTAATCTGAACTTGAGTGCCTGGTATTTGTGCCGCTGCAGAAAAATCAAAACACCGTATCACTAGATCAACATCAAATGAATGCACAGAACCCTGGACTTATCTTCCTTTCTGAGCAAAGCCTGATCTTCAGAAAATAAACTGTACATCACTACCATAATTACATACAGAGACGGAATACATTATCAACAGCAAAGTCCACTTAGCTAAAGAGTATTTTTTAACTGTTCTAAAATTCCACCTCATAAAGCTCACGTTGCACTATAATTTCCATAACAAATGGGGAATTAGCTGCAGAATTAGGGGGTGGAATTAGCATACATGTAGACATTTAACTGCCTATGTTACTTTCAAGCTGGATTACTTTGCAGCTAGTTTTTTTTTGACAAACAACATTTTATCAAGCCATAGTATAGTATGCTACTGTACTTAAAACAGTTACAGAAAAAGTGTTTTCCTTCCTTTCTTACACAGTTGGAATAATTTTGGTTTGACTTTTTCCACCAGATTGCATCCACCTACTCCTTCCCAAATCTTGCAGTAACAATCTCACACTTCCCCTAGCTGGTCATTTATTGAGAAATGGTTTCTTTACAGCCTTTCTCTGTACCCTTTAGTTAAGGGCAACATGATATTTAATCACTGCAATGAGAGAAGATAGCTGAAGAAGGATTCTTGGCTGTTCATGACAGTGAGAGTCCCCTCCACGCAGGGATTTTATTTCACCCACATTAACGTGTGGCCAGAGCTCATGGTGTGCCAGGTTTGGCAACTGTGCATCTACATTTGCCATGCCTCTGCATGGACATCCCCTGCATGGGGCGTGGGACAGGCTGGGGGATGCACACTCTGTGGCACGGGGACCCACATGAAGGCTACACCACTTTGTCCCCTTCCACCACCTCCCCATCAGTCCCTGCTAAGGTCACCTCTGCTTCACACACACACCTGAGCAGAGCCACGCATGCACATTTGGCCCCCTATACATTAAACTACTCACTTGCGTGTTTGGCCCTTGAAAATCTGGCATTTTGAGGTACAGAAGTGTAATGCGCACTTCAAGCAATCAAAGAACTTTCACAATTAAAAGCGAAATCATATAAGAAGCTATTTTAAACCTATGATGATTTATTTCAGCAAGGTGAGGCTATAAAACCCTGCCACTTGGCCAATATGCTTATTTTTAGGAAGGTACATTAACGGACAGAATAAGCAACAATTAATCACTTCTCAGCTGTTGAGGCAGTGCTGCATACAGTTATGCACTTGACCGGCAACTTCTTAGGTCATCTTTAGTAAATTAGAGTATGAAACGAACAACGGGAACAGCTACTTACCTTAATGGGAGAGAGGTTTGTACACCTATACTTGCTGTACACTACGAGAGGCAGTTTTTCTTACTCTTTTATAGAATAACCTTCTTCTTTGTTTAGCAATTATTTTGGCCAAATATATAACTTCTTGCTTTTTCGTATCACATGCAAGCAGGAATTTCTTCTGGAAGCCTATTATTATTTCAATAATTACTCTATAACAAGTAAATAAAACCCTCCGCAAAATGACATGCTTGCATAAAGTACTTACAAGTGATCTGATGTTGTTTTCTTTTGCCAGTTTCAGAGAGGATTTATAGCAATTCGCCAAGTTTTCTTTATGAGTGTCAGTAAGGTGGCCTCTTGCGATTGGCCCAACAGTATGGATCACATCTGCAAGAAATGGGAAAAGAAGGCGTAACTATTAATTATGGTTCTTGAGATGGTTTAGTATTTCCCTTGTGACTCCACAGAACCACTACATTGCAAGTCAATCCATTCTGATATGTATGGAGACGCAAATGTAGGAGCAATACTCTAAGAAAATGTCTTTTAAGCTACACTTGCACAAATTAAATGAAAGTGAGAAACTGTAAATCCTAAATTTTGAAGCAAGACTACATTTGGGCTAAAGGAAAAACTAAGAAAAACATACTAAATGTTTGTTGCATGTGTACTACAAACCACACACAGGAAAGGTCACAAGTTTGAAACAGTTACCCTCATCCCTTCAAGGTCTACTCATCAGGAAAGCTCACCACAAAACCTTGGCACATTAGCAGCGATATACAGGGAGTTTTTGTCTAATATTTAAAGCCTTTCCTCTGCACTTGAAGAGAAGTAAAAGTTGGGACCTATGAATGCACTAGTTATTCAAAGAATCTGCTTTCCTCTCACATCAGACCAGATGGAAACACTGTGCAATAAAACAAGAGCATCTTATTCTGTTTGAAGAATTTTAATGAACAAAAAGAGAAAGTACAGTCAGGGAATATCTCAGGTATGATGCCTCTGGACGCATCGAAATCAAATGTTGCAATCAATCAGTGTCTTTAAAGTGCTGCAAGAGAAATGAAGTAAAAAGCCTAGAGCAAAAAAAAACCAGAAACATACAAACCAAAAGGTATCATGAAAAACTATTTCCCCCCCACACACACACGCAGACTAGTAAGCACATTTACTTTTCCAACATCATTCTTACACCATGTGCAAACATGCCACAGTGAGTTATGGTGGCAGGTGCATCCTTCCTGCCACTTTCCCTTTATCATCCCCTACAACATCCCGAAGCAATAAACAGTTGCACCCTTTTTTTTCCTTTTTTTTTTTTTTTTGTAATATTGCCTCAAAAAAGGATTCAGTCAATGCCGTACAATTCAGGCACCACCAGTCCCCTTTGGCTACGTTGTGTTTGTTCCATATGTGATGGGCTTCCAAGCAACATCTGCTGTTGTTACACCCCAAAATAATTTAGTTTACTGGCAGATCCTACAGAAATCACACCATTATTGTTTGTCCAAGTGGCCTTTGATTATTCCCCACCAATCTATACCAAACCATTTGTGAAACTGGCCAAACATTGAAATGTCAGTTATCTTCATATTTGTTATTATTCCAGTCAGACATCATCTGCCAAGTCCTGGTCTCTACAACTTAAAAGGCAGTTTATGTGCTGAAACCACATTTTGAACATTTCCAAAACTTTTTTGACATTAGCCAGAAATATTGGATATCCGTATAACGCACATAACTATCCAGACCCTCTGATCCTTCCAAATTCCTTCACATACCTCCCAGTAGCTTTCTACGTGTTTTAAAGAACCCTCTGCTTTTCTGTTGTGAATTCAGTCCGGAAAAGAGAAATATCTTGGTGGCCACCATCTTGCAATACCTCTGGTATGGAAAGTTCCTTCACAGTAGTTTTCTGGTTAATACTGAGCTTTTCTCTCAGAACTCTGTGCGCTGATATTCAGTAAATAAAAGTATCTAAGAGCATCCCAGTGTCCAGACACGCAGAGGAACTGGATGTGATGGAAACCTGAATCTAAACTTCCTAAGTACTGTGAAAACCCACCACACCAAGAAGTGAATAAAAAAGGTTAACTACTCTTCTTTTCATTTCGATCACAGCAATTTTCTCCAGTTGTGGGAACAAGACGGATAGATTGGACAATTTCTGTTGAGCGCCGCAGCTGCTGTACAATAACAGCAGCAAACCCTCCCCACAGCATTTCAGGCAACTGAAACAAGGAGGAGGTGTTCAGCCTTGGTCTGCTGACAATGGGAATGCAAGCAGGTGACGGAAACAAGTAGAGTGGTTTTACCCAGGAGTTCAGAAAAGTTATTTCACAAACACATTTTAGCTACTACAATAAACTGAGTACTATTAAGACCTAGGAAGAGAAAGAAATAGCACAGCTAGTTTGAAATTTGCTTCTGCTTAGAGAGATAAGGTTATATGAGCACTTCCATTAGGAAAGGCCATAATTTCAGGTGTCTGTAAACTGTAAGTACAGCAGTTTGCTTCAGGTTGAAACTTTCCAGGGAAGGTTTTCATTTGGGAGCATTAGCACTTGGCTGCTAGCAACTTCAGAGAAAGAAAAAGCATCTCTTGACACATTTTTCTTTGTTATTTGTTCTTGAAAGAGGCAAGCTGCGGTTATTGAGCACAGGGAAGGAATATACCAGTACATCTGACCTCAATCAAGGCCATTTTATGTTTATAGACACTAAGATCAGAGGTATTGAGATCCATTTTAAATTCATAACACCTACTTGCCAACAAGCAAATAAAGGAATGACTATAAAACTAACTTAACAGCCCAGCATAAAAGATGAACAAACAAAAAGTCACAGAACAATTCCCTCTTTCTGCATTTCAAAGTATAAAGAATTTATACTCATTTCAAAAGCTGAAGCCTAATAGCTTAAATTAAAAATTCGTTACTAACCAACAAGATGGGGGGTTTGGGGAACAGCCCAAGCACCAAATTCTTGCTGGAATCTTTCTGTAAAACACCTCCTCAGCCCTCGTTGGTAGAACTTTCTTCACTCATTTAGTGTTATGCTCCATTTCTTTCATCCTCTGTTGCTAAACATTAACTTTAAAAATTCTCATCTCAACAGTAGGAAATATTTCTTGTATTTTTTTTCCCAGAATTTCCTGATTTAGCATTTTCAAGGTACCTCATTACCAACTCTCTATCACTGCACCAGATACTTCATATAAATAGGTAACCTTTAATATAATTATTGACTTTTGTGTGTTAATTTCTACAAGCTGAGAATAGGTGCCTCTTTGGACAGGACTCTTAAGCTGGCTATAAGTTGGTTTATAATCCAACAAAAATATAATTGTTTAAGAATTCATTATTCAAAAATTGCTTTTCTTAAATGCATTCTTATACAGAAATATGTGACAGTAAGATTTTACAAGCAGAGCAGCATTAACATGCCAGTCTGTTTCTTGGTCAGCAGATTAACAGGAGAGTAAAGATTTTATTGTTGTACCTTGTCAATACAATCTGTGTATCCATACATTGCCTGAACTATCTATTATTCTGCTGAAGCTATTCCCCAATATGTTAAGGCTTGAAGCCAGACAAAATCCTTTGAGATTATACAGGCATAAAGCAAACAAACCAGAAAATAGAACTGACTCCACACCACCCCCAGCCCAAGAAGTTAATATATAAGGATCAGACTTCACAGGCTAAAGCAGAGCTGTTTATTTTTAATATAGCTACAAAGACAGCATCCATCTTCCAGCGTGTCTGTCGCAAGAAAGTTTTGTTTCTGCTCTCATGTCCCCGCTCACCCAGCTGCACAAAGCTGGTGAGATTCAGATGCTGCAGAGCTGAAGATGATGAGGAGGTTTACAGACATCTATCCCTAAAAAAACTAACTGGTATCCCTGAGAAAACTGTAAACCCTCTGCCCTGCTACTCCAGCCACCTGCAGCAGCAGCCAGCCTCTAATGTAAACCCGTGGCACTGCTGGCAGGACAAAAGCCCCATATGTTGGGCTCCCACATCAGCCTACCCATGGCCAAAACAGGCATCCACACTAGAGAAGCCCACAGCCCTTCCGAAACAAGCATGACTTCTGGGATTAGACTCCAGTGATAGCAGAGGACTTGGATGGGGAGCTTGCACAGAGATGCATTTTGCCCAAGAATGCAAACCAGGGGAAAACAAACAAACAAGAGCACCACCAATGACAGGGATGAGCACAATTAGGAGTTTAAGTCAATGTGCTCACAGAGGTCTAACAGCGTAACAGAGAAGTGGTCCTATCGCCCAAAGATTCTTAAACTCAAGGAAATCCAGAGAAACACCCAAAAGATTTGTTCTGGTTGGAAAGACTGTTAGAGATGCCTGCTACCAAGCACCACTGGCTCCTCCTTGGAGCTCCTGAACTCCCTTTGCTCTCAGGGTGTTCCTTAAGGAGGTGAAGCAAGAGTAAGAGATACAGACAGCTCCCCAGCATGTCTCCAGATGTTTGTTTTTTTTTTTTTTTTCTTCAAAAAGCTGGCAAAAGAGTAAAATTAGGCACAGCCATATCTCAGAGAATGCCACACTCACCATTTGTAAAATTCACATTTTTATGCCAAATGGAGGGGCCAGCATCGCTTTGAAGCTTCTCATTTACCATGGTCAGCCTTCAGGCTGAGAACTTCGATTAGAGCTGCAATCCCTGCCTTCCTAAATCACTTTCACTGTCCATACACAACAGATATGTTTGCTCTCATTTTTAAGAGTACACAGAGGTGAAGAGCCCCAGAGGTAGGTGTATTTTCATCTGGAATTCAGGCCACAATGATGGATCAAAGTGCTTTTAACGCTAATGAAACTACTCAGTATTAAAGCGATGTTTATAATACGGAAGGAGTTAATTTTCCTCCAGAAACACTTCTATAGAAAGGTAAGGGTGGCTGAAAAAGCATTGGCAGAGATCTATGCTCTACAGACATGTTTCAGAGCTGCGTTAGGGCTGACAATTTAGTTTTACACTGGTATCTCTAAGGTTTGTGTTGCAACACGGGGCTGATCCAAGGAGATGTGACTGGATCTGCTGCTCTTTTTTTCCCCCGTTGTTTGAGTTTCAGACTTTTGGTTTAGAAATTCCGGCAGCCAAATGGAGGACACACAGCATCGACACATCGATTTGAATGCGCACAGGCTCTGCATCAACTCAGCTTGTTTTCATTCAGTTTTTCTTCTTGTTTTAATCAGAAGCATTGTAATGAAAGCAGGCATCTTATGCAAACCATTAACTAACCTTGAGGTATAACAGGCACTTTGTCATTTCAAATATCGCTGTCCTTGCTTAGCCATTAGTGAGAATAAATGTAGTTTACGCATTTAATCAACATTTCACAAGCACAGGGACTC